AAAGGCTGAGCTCTACCGAATCATCTGGCGTACCGACATCAACGAAACCGGCCCAATGACATCTATCTCTCTCATGCAACGTGCTTTCAATGACCTCACTGCCTCTTTGGTAGTTATGGGGGATTCTCAGCTCTCATACGCCATTCTCATTGCACTTCCTGCTTCGTACGCCACCCTAGCATCTACTTTCTATATGCTAGGTGATCCTTCATCGGCTGATGTCATCTCAGCTGTCAACGACGAATCTCGGCGACGGCAGACACAAGAGAGTGGAATACTTGCACTGCAAACCAAGGTATCAAGGATGAAGAATGGGGAGAATTTGTGGGAAAAGGATGGAAGAAGCCATAAAGGAAAAGTCAAAACATCGACTATCAAGGATGGTAGTAAACCATATTGTGAATTCCATCATTCAAACTTGCACTCGACTGTTGACTGTCGAGCAGCACAACGAGTCACTGCTGCCCATATGGCAACTACCGACCAAGCTACCACTTCCACACCTTCCAGTCTAAATTTCATTGCAACGGTATCTCCCTCTGCACTTGTTGCTTCCGGCCAGCTTTCATCCATTATTGTCGATTCTGGTGCCTCACATTCCATGGTATTCGATCCCCAACTGCTATCTAATCTACAAACTCTTCCCTCGCCTGTCCCAGTCGTGATCGGTAATGGCACTACCATTCAAGCAATCAAGACTGGAACACTTACTCTGGACAATGGTTTTGAAGTCCAGAATACTCTCCTGGTACCAAACCTCGGTCGACACCTCCTATCTGTACGGTCTACCACTTCCTCAACCACTTCATGGATATTCAACTCCACCTCACCTATTCTCCAAGATGGTGAACGTACCATCTTGACAGCAAAACTTCACGATAACCTCTACACTCTCTCTTGTACGTCTTCTACCATTCAAGCTCATACCACCAGTCCTGATATGTCAGAGAATCTGCTTCAAACTTGGCATAGAAGATTGGGACACTTGCATATTGGAGCGGTAGTGAAGTTAGGTCAGGAGGGACGCCTTGGAGATACTGCTAGATGGGCAAAAGTAAATGGAGATGGATTCATATGCCCTGCTTGCATTCAAGGAAAGGGCAAGCGCCTACCGTCTCCCCCATCCTCACAGCGAGCTTCTACACTTCTTGGGGCACTTCACCTTGATCTTTTTGGACCAACACGAACTACATCACATGATGGCTACCAAACATTTCTCACCATCTATGATGACTACTCACAACACCTGCAAATCCTCTTTCTAAAGTCAAAGGCCGACACCCTAATTACCGTTCAGCAATACATCACGCTCGTAGAGAATCAATTGGGTACCAAAGTGAAAATTATTCGAAGTGACCGTGGTGGTGAATTTGTTTCTTCCTCTTTCAAGCAATATACCAGCTCCAGAGGGATTGAACACCATCTTGTCCCCCCCGCTTCACATGCTCAGAACGGCCGGGTGGAGCGCGCTCACCTGTCAATCCTGGATTTGGTACGCAGTCTCCTCATTGACAGTGGACTACCAGATACTTTTTGGTCTGAAGCAGCAAGATATGCCGTTTACATCAGAAACCAAGCTCCACGGGCAAATGGTACCATCCCAGAAGATATATGGCAAGGCACACAAGTGCCCTACACGCACATGCAGCCCTTTGGCTGTAATCTGTTTTATCGGGCTCATACCGAGACCAACAAGCTAAAACCGCGATATCTCCCTGGTCGATTGTTAGGATATGAACCAAACTCTACCAACTACCGCATCTGGGATACCACCAAAAAGAGCTTGATCATCTCTCGTGATGTTACATTCACTGGTAGTCTAGATACCCTCATACCAACGTCCAAAACAGATTGCTCCAAATACTATCTGCCGAGTGAAGTTACCTCGGATGACAACACTACACCAGTCGATAACTCATCACTCCCAACAGAAGATACGGGGAACTCCAACTCAGGAATTCCCCCACAGGATAGGGGGAGTCCTTCTCCTCAGTTACCACAATGGCGTGGATGGACACTGGAGGAAGACCCAAGGTTTCACCGCTCTCGAGCTCCCACTCCTGATCAACTACCAGAAGGCCTTGAACTCACAGTGAATACACAACTACGCCGCTCTCGTTGCCAAGCTGGGCAAGCAACTGAACATGTCTCTCGAAGCCTGGAAGACAATCTTGCCTTAAGTGCAACTACCGATCTTTCTTCCCTCACTTATTCCGCATACTCTGCAATTCTTGCCCCACAATCCTTCTTGGAAGCATGCCGTTCACCCCAATGGGACAGCTGGAAACAGGCAATTCAGGATGAACTGAAAAAGATGGAGAAGTATAAAGTGTGGACGGTGGTAGACCGCAAGGAAGGTGGTAGTCGGATACTCAGAGCTAGATGGGTGTTCACCAGAAAGATCGATGGCGCTACTGGACAACCAGCAGGCTTCAAAGCACGATGGGTTGCTAAGGGATATTCTCAACAATCTGGTGTTGACTACCATGAACTCTATGCTGGAGTTGCCCACAAGGATTCGATTCGACTATTCTTTGCAATTGTCAACTACCATGGTCTATTGTGTGATGCAGTTGACATTGTGGCTGCTTTCCTCAATGGTGATCTAGAAGAGACCATCTACCTTGAACCACCAGAAGGTAGTGATATCCCAACCGGGAAAGTGATTCTCCTACTCAAATCCTTGTACGGTCTCAAGCAATCTCCTCGATGTTTCAACAAGAAACTTGACCACTGGTTACGCCAACAAGGTTTTATTCCAGCTACCGCCAACAACTGCATATATACTTGTACCACCGGTAGTAATACTCTCCTCATTGCGCTCCATGTGGATGATCAACTCATAGCAAGTAATTCTCAATTGCATCTCAACGATTTCAAGTCTCAACTACATGCAGCATTTGAAATCAAAGACAACGGACCGGTATCATATTCCCTAGGTGTCAATGTCTACCGGGACAAATCCAAAAAGAAGCTATTTCTCTCACAAGAGCACTACCTCAAGGCAGTTTTAGAGCGCTTCGGAATGGATGACTGCAAGCCCGCGCAAACTCCTCCCCCCTCTGGTTACCGAGCTACTCTAGCTACCGATACCGAGTATGACTTTGTCCGCAACGAATCATATCCTGCCATGGTAGGTTCTCTGCTCTATGCAGCTACCATTACTCGCCCAGATATTGCCTTTGCTACATCTGTTCTCTCTCGGACTACCAGTAAATGGTCAGCACAACACATCTCTGCCGCTCGTCACCTCATGCGATATCTACGTGGTACAGTCAAACTCTGCCTCTCATATGATGCTTCACTACCACAAGCCAAGCCATTGATACATGGGTATTCAGATTCCGATTGGGGTGGATGTTTGAACACTCGTCAATCTACCACTGGGTTCCTCTTCTATGCTTTTGGCGGACCAATTGCTTGGCGATCAAGACGACAATCAACTACCGCTTTATCTACTGCAGAGGCTGAGTACATGGCAACCTCAGATGCAGCACGACAAGCATTGTGGCTCAAAGAAATCGCACGTAACTTCGGCTACTACCACACAAAAGGTATCTCAATCCTCTCTGATAACCAAGCAGCTATCCTTTTGTCAAGAAACCCTGTTCAGCACGACAGGTCAAAACACATCGACATACGCTACCATTTCATCCGAGATAAGGTAGAAAATGGAGACATTGTCCTGTCATATGTGTCAACTGAAGAGAATCTCTCTGATATTCTCACAAAGTCACTTCCATCAGAACGTCACCACTACCTCTCTCAAGGTCTGGGTCTGCAGAATCCAAAGATACAGGAGATACGGGACGAGGGGGAGTGTTGAAAGACACGTGGTTGTTTTACGTAACGTCCCACATCTCCTACCAAAGTTTTTCACCTCCTGGTAGTTCTTTATTGCTTTATACCGAGCTAAGAACTACCAGGTAAGTGACTATAGTCATGCATTGCTTTATACAGAGCTAAGAACTACCAGTTACTACCGCTCTAGCGATCATCAACATAGTCGCTCCCGAATCACACAAGGCGACCACCTGGGCCCCTTTTACGTTGATTTTAGTCTTTGGTTGCCTTGCATCAGTGATGGGTATCTTGATGAACTGTCCATCTTTGTATACACATTGTCCTGCTACTGTCAGCTCTTTCCTTGTAATATCAGAAGTTAACAATAGCAGAGAGGACAGAAAATGGGACCCGCTGACGTTCTCTCAAGCCAACGGGTCCAAGCCTTTTCCCTCCTCCACGTCCTCCCCTGCTACCGCATTCATCTGCCTTGGCTCCTCCATCACCACTGTGTTTCCTCCCATTCCTCTGTTCCTTGAACTTCTCCACATTTCAGGAGGCATCATTAACCCCTGAGCTACCTTAGCAGCTACCAAAGGACAATCCTTCACATAATGTCCTAAAGGATGATCCACTCAGCAGTTTGACGCACCACGGCAAAGTTCGCCGCAGTTCATTGACAATCACCTTATTGTTTACCACTTGACGTATAACTACGGCATAGTTAACTGTAGCTCCCCGACGAGTACCCTGTCTCAGTGAGAAATCGACGCCCCAAGACGACGTAGTTAGCTGAGGTTTGTCGACTGTCGGTCAGTAGAGAAGAAGAACCAATGTTTGTGACAGTATCAAGGATCACTGGAGAAGCTCAGCAATCTGTGAACTATCTATACTTCTCCTCTCTTCTCATAGAATGTCCTTCAACTCCTGCACAGCCCCACGCTCAGTCCTCTCAGCTCAACTTTGCCGTACCTCGCCATATCCCCGATATCCTACTCCGCTCACTTCGACTAACTTCGCCTAACTTCCCCTACTCTGCTCTCCCTCGGGTTCCTTCTCCTAACTTTGCCGTAGTTTTCTGTTAGGCGGGGTTGTTGTGACAAATGCTCCCTAGGTTCCCATACTTCGTCGTAGTCGGTCTCAGTGGTTCGGGGTGGTGATGGATAGTGGTTCGGTGATGGTGAAAGGAGAGTCGGTGATGGTGGTTGTCAGGGATGCTACGACATGGTTTGTGACCACGGCAAAGTTAGCCGCAGTTCATCAACGATCACCTTATAGTTTACCACTTGACGTATCACTACGGTGTAGTTAGCCATAGTTCCTTCCCCAACAAGTACCCTGTCTCGGTGAGACATTGACGCCCCAGTACAACATAGTCAGCTGAGGTCTGTCGACCGTCGGTCAGTAGAGCAGAAATATTGCTATCTGTGACAGTTTGACTTTGCCGCTGCTTACTGGTTAAATACCCTTTCCTGACTTTTGCTTGACTTGTCACATCCTTTGTGACACAACAGTCAACCCAGTTCTGGTTCACATCTACATTGGTTGCCCCTCCACTCCTCCACTAATTTTGGGACTGTAAGAGTGAGCCTGACATCGCGCACACACAGCTGAAAAGGGTGATGTATCGACACATTCTCCTTGTGAAGGTCGCCAGTTATCCACAATTCTAGGTTTTCTGATTGTGAGATTCTCAAAGAATGAGTCATTTGAAAGGACCGATTGTGCAGCTTTAGCAGCTCTCAGAAGCAGCTGTGGATCATAAGGCTTTGAGGATGGATCTTGACTCTGACTTTGCTGTTTCTACACTTCCGCCATGAATCTTGGTACGGCATTTAACATCTGTACAGATAAGGTTTTGTCCGCAGAGTCAACAACAAGCGCCAAGCTGCATCCTTGTCACTCCAAACAGCAAAGGAGTCAAGCACCTTTGAGAGATCTAGATATCCTTTCCCTGCTGAGGGAGTCAGGGCGGCTTGGGATGTTTTGTCAGTGATTGCTGTGTTCAGACCCACAGATGATTGCCATTTTTTGGAGGAAGGAGGAGGTTGTCCCGGCAGATGTGCACTCTTGTATGGATCTTGTAGGAGTAAGTTTATATCGTATCCATAGCGCCATTCTGGTTCCTTTAGGAGTTCTGCCCTAGCCTTGATGGCAACCGTATGAACGGCTACAGCATCTCGTAAGTTTGTGGATTCACTTGATTCCAAACGTGTTATAGTGTCATAGTAGGGCCGTTCTAAAGCTTCTGATTTCATCTGTTGGATCGCCCCCGCATATGATTGACCAAATCGTGCGATCTTTGTGTCACAATCGTCGTTTCTTCTCCTCTACTGACCGACGGTCGACAAACCTCGGCTAACTACGTCGTAGTGGGGCATCGGTGTCTCACTAGGACAGGGTACTCGTCGGGGGAACTACGGCTAACTTCGCCGTAGTAATACGTCGAGTGGTAAATGATAAGATGATCGTTGATGAACTGCGGCTAACTTCGCCGTGGTGCGTCGAACTGCTCGATGGTAGCTCTCCTTAACTCGAAGGTTGTAGCTACTGAATATATCGCTCGCTACTGACAACAATCAAGGATTTCAGCGATCTTCTCAGCTAATATTATTTACTCCTCCTAGATTTTCACCCAACCCTCTCGCGCTTAGACGTACCTCAACGCACTTCGTCCAACTTCCCCGAGTCCCGGCCGTCCTTCTCCGTCCTTCGACTAACCCCGCCTAACATCGCCGCACTTCTGCTCCCATTGTCCCTAGTCCGCCTAACTCCACCTAACTTCGCCGCACTTCACCGTTCCTATGCTCCAGATCCTCGTACAACTTAATCTCCCCCTGTACTTTGCCGTAGGTGGTCGCTGTCACGAACTACGTTGTGACCCCTCAATTATCCCACCAACAATGACACTCCTTTGACCATCAAAACCCCTATCACGTCTTAACCTCTTTACTCTACACGAAACTCAGCACATCTGAGACCAACTACGGCAAAGTACAACAGGAGAATAAGATATACGGGGCCTGGAGCATAGGGACAACAAAGTACGGCGAAGTTAGACGGAGTTAGGCTGAGTAGGGACAATGGAAGCAGAAGTACGGCGAAGTTAGACAGAGTTAGGCTAAGTAGGGACAATGGGAGCAGAAGTGTGGCAATGTTAGGCGGAGTTAGGTGAACTAGGGACAATGGGAGCAGAAGTGCGGCGATGTTAGGCGGGGTTAGTCGAAGGACGGAGAAGGACGGCCGGGACTCGGGGAAGTTGGACGAAGTGCGTTGAGGTACGTCTAAGCGCGAGAGGGTTGTGTCACAGGGTTGCTTCTTCGTTAACTTCCTACGACCGACGGCCAATAACTTCGTGGGCTTCGACCTTTACCAACTTCGTTGTTCGAGATATGAAATAGGTGACAATAACTTCTGGGTGTAATAACTTCGTACTTTACTAACTTCTATCACTAAGACAACAACCAGAGATCGTCAAAGATCTCTGGGAACTTCGGCCCTTAAGTACTTCGTCCTTCCCTAACTTCGTCAACGCAGAACTTCGTTCAACCCGACGTCCCGAGCTTCGTACCTCACGAACTTCGTCCCCGACGAAGTTCGTGCCTTCCTAACTTCGTATCCTCCTAACTTCGTATCTCCCTAACTTCGTATCTTCCTAACTTCGTATCTCCCTAAGTTCCTACATGACTAACTTCGTCCTCGACGAAGTTAGCCTCCTAATACCCTCGTGGGTGGTGAAGTTCATGCGAACTGGGTCGTTGATGGCGAACTGATGTCCAAAGGAACTTCGTTTGATGGGAAAGGATAATGTCACGCGGCGCCGCGTGACAGTCGCCCCCTCCTTGAGCGCGAACGTCCTCGTGAGCGAACATCAACGCCGAAAAGAACAAAACAACTCAGCATGAAGTTCGGTTCTCACCCTTCTCCTCAAACCAACTTCCTGACAATGTAATTCCCGTAATGAAATTCCAGGAAAATCTGAAACCTCCTTTGGCTACGCCGCCTTCCTCACAACAAGATCGCCATCTACCGAACTTCGTAACTTGCCTCCTAGACATTGGAAAATCGTGGGGGAAATTCGTATGTGACAAGAAGATATGACAATGATAGAGGAATTTTATGTATGGGGAATGGGAAGCAATAATCTGTTCGTGAGTGCAGTATCCATGAGTGCAAGTAGGAAACCCCTTAGCCTAAAAATTTTCTCTCGTATCCAGGGATCTTCGTGGTATCCTGGACTCCATGAAACACAACGTTGACGACG